TTCATCGGCCTCGCGCAAATCTGGCCTCACCCTGGACCTCTCCAACTTGCCTCCTTTGACGCAACCCACGCCGCCATCAAATACCCTCCTCTTTACCGGCCTCAACAACACAGATATCTTCCGACCAGACAACTTGGAGCGAGTCCGAGGACTGGTTGCCAAGATAGCACCTATCCACGCCTTTGCGCCGCTCAAGTCGTTCCGTCGCATCGTCATTTCCTTCTTCGATATCGATTCCTCCATCGCTGTCCGTCAAGTTTGGGATGGCGAAGCTATCCTTGGTGATCGCTGCAGAGTCTACTTTGGTCAGCAGACAAATATCGAGGCCAAGGACGAGCATCTAGCTCTCCCTGATGCTGGCAAGTTGTTCTTCATCTCACCGCCACCCAGCCCTCCCCATGGCTGGGAGGTCCGCCTGGAGGACGCTCCGAACAAGCAGGTGCACGCCGAAGACTTGGCTGAAGCATTGTCTAAACTGCGCAACACTCGCCCAGGACTTGAGTCCCCTATCAGCCCCGTGGACGGACCTGCTGCTAGTGGGAGCACGAGAAGTCGTAGCTCGACCCTTATCTACCGTCCGGAGGAGAATGGGTGCAGCCCAGACCTGCCTGCCGTCTTTGTTGAGGATATGACGGAAGAGCCTGAAGTCATAAGCCCTATCGACGGTTGCCGACCTATCATGGCACATACCGCCCGCCCCCCAGTTGAGCTGATGCACGATGCGTAACGATCCTGGGATTCTTTCTTTTTTGTTTAGGGGGAACAAGCATCAGAAGCGAAAATTAAAAAGCATAGGCGTAATTGGACGGAGGGACAAGGTTACTGGCGCATTCAAATCGGAGTGTTCTAGAGAGCATCCGAAATTTTGGGACCACGGCATTGGAATTGCATGCAACATGGGAAGTGGAACATGGTTGTCGATTGTTGTCTTTGCTCTAGAATCGGACGTGGGCTATTGCCACGGGAATGGAATTCCGGAGTTGTATAGTATGCAGCTATTTGGCGAGGAATCAATACAAGTCCTTTTGGAAATTTCCTGTTGTAGTGCTTTGCAGCGTAAAATGCAACAAGATTTTTGCCTTGCTAAATTATTCGATTAGTTGGTGAGTATAAACTTCAATATTTGCATTATTTATCATTTGTTTGAATCCCGCTTCTTTGTTTATTGTATGAAGCTTGACGGCGTGAGGTCCGACGTATCAAGTCCAAGACTTTGCGCCAATGATATAGACCCACCAGATCCCTGCCGCTCATTCGCGTGTCCCATGTCCAAATTAGTCTCGGTCCGCCAGCTTTTCTTTGCAACGTCTAGCATCTTCAATCATACAAAGGGGTTCGACACGGGCAGCCGTGCAGGTCAGAGACCTCCTTTGGGCAACAATGAAATGTCCATGCCGCGCAACGCCTTGGAGGATATTTTTGCAGAGCTTGGCGCAAGTCCACAACGTTCAGGTCTCGACCAGCACAGCTCGACCGTGGCGTCCTGTGCCGGTGCCCCGGCCTGTTTCGAGTCAAAGTCGCGGACTTGCCGCTTCATCCTACTGGAGACGAGAAACTACTCGGTCGGCCGTTGCAGCGGAAGATGCGGTGGACAAGAGGGAGAATGTGACGGGCACGGCGGCTGACACAAAGCCTCTACGAAAGAACCGAGCAAGGGACAAGAAGACGGAGAATGAAGCTCCATCTCCAAAGGAATCCCAAACTCGAACAATCGAGAAATCTTCGCCTCCAGCACCGCCACCGAAACGCAGGGCCAACAAAGCCAAACCTTACGACCAATCGCCCGACCTGAATATTGCCCAGCCGAAGACCCCCGAGTGGCAGAGCCAAAAGGCAGCCCTCAAGGAGAAATTCCCCCAGGGCTGGAAGCCTCGGAAACGCTTGTCTCCTGATGCTCTGGCGGGCATACGGGCACTCAACGCGCAGTTCCCGGATACTTATACGACGCGGGCGCTGGCGGACAAGTTTGAGGTGTCGGTGGAGTCGATTCGGCGGATTCTCAAGAGCAAGTGGACACCGTCGGTGGCGGAAGAGCAGGAGCGGCAGGAGAGGTGGTTCAGGAGAGGGATGCAGGTGTGGGAGCGCAAGGCGGCGGTCGGGATGAAGCCGCCGCGGAAGTGGAGGAGAGAGGGGATTGTGCGGGATAGTTGGTGGCATGAGAGGAGGAAGGAGGCGGCGAGGCGGGAGAGAGAATGGGAGGAGGAGGAGAAGGAGGCTGAGAGGGCGAGGAGAAATTACGGTGCGAGGAGTGTTGGTGGTGAGGATGAGGGTCGGGGCGAAGCCGGCGGTGGGAGGTGGTAGATGCGGCCACGGTGTTGTACGATATTAAACTCTCTCTATATAATTGGATGTCGGATATCTTGTTTCGCGACGTCATGGTCATTGTAACCGAGTATATTGGGGTTGATGTTGTATGTGGGCTATGTGAGGGCATGTCAGTATGGTGATGAAGCTCTGGGGGGACACACGGTTTCTAGAACCCATGTCAAAGACAAGCTGCTTCGCGCATTGGTTCAATGTTAGCATAAATTGTTTCAACCAGTGAGCAAACCAACATGGAGTCATGTCTATGCCGTCACGGTCTTCCCCAACTTGACATGATGCGAACAGTTGATGTTCCAAGGCTCGGCCATTGATTGGCTGGCTACCCGTGACGGCCCTGAGCCCCACTGTAGAACTCTGTAGCCGCCTGCACTAGGCAGTTGACGTCCCGCGCTGATGCGCAGCGCCGCTCAGGACTTGCTCCGGAAACCAGGGGCCCGTTGGCGGCCATCTTGGTGCTTCACATGCTGCCAGATTGTTTCAAATGTTCAACCACACGCCCGGTCTCACCATCGCCTTGGTCCAGCTCGTCCAACTTTTCTCCTCTCGAATGCGTTGATTCTTTGTTTCTTTTCTTCAATTCATTCCAATCAAGGCTCTTCTGGTGCTTTCTACGCACCGCCAGTCTTTACCTTGCCTCGTTCCCGCCATTCTTCGTCGTCTGCCTCTGCCTCCGTCATCAGCCTCAGCATGTCTTCAAGAAACTATCCGCGCCCTCCCCAGCGCGACTCCTGGTTCGCCCCTCTATCTGTCGACCTCATCGTCAAGGTCCTCAATGTGACCTTCCTGCACCCCTTTGTCTGCTGGATGATCCCGCTGTGCTTCCGGGCGCAGACGGTCCGGTGGGAAGCTCCCCGCATGATTGCATCCATAGCGTGGGCGACATTCATCACGCTGTGCTGGATGGCAGGCGTGGTCAACCAGCGCATTGCGTATGGACTGCCGAGAGAGGTTGATTTGAGCGAGGAGGTGATTGTGATTACGGGCGGTGCGAGCGGACTGGGCATGTTGGTCGCCGAGGTGTATGGCATGAGGGGCGCCAGCGTCGCCGTGTTGGATGTGAATGAGATGGAGAATGGGGAGGCGCGGGGCGTCACCTATTACAAGTGTGATGTTGGCGACAAGGCGCAGGTGAAGAAGGTTGCCGACGAGATTGAGCGAGATGTGAGTCTTTACTTGGCCGTGTGAACAAACGTGAAGGTGACCAAGGGCCCTGACTGATGCATATTTCACAGCTCGGGACGCCGACTGTGCTCATCAACAACGCCGCTGTTGTCATTGGCAAGTCCCTCCTCAACCTGACCTTGGACGAGATCGACTCCAGCCTGTCCACCAACCTGCTCGGCCCATTCTATTGTCTCAAGACCTTCCTCCCGGCCATCCTCCGCGGCGGTCGCGGCGGCACCATTGTCAACATTTCCTCCGTCATTGGCCACCTTGGCGCTGCGCAATTGTCAGATTACGCTGCTGCCAAAGCTGGTCTGACGGCTATGCACCGCTCTCTGACTGCCGAGTTGCGCGAGACGCACCCTGAGATTCGAACCGTGCTCATTACCCCCGGACAGCTGAGCACGCCTCTATTCTATGGAGTCCAGACGCCGAATAGCTTCTTTGCCCCAGTCGTAGAACCCGTCGATGTCGCCAAGGAGATCATCGGGGCCATTGACAATGGCAGGGGTGCGACGGTAGGCATGCCGCTTTACGCCCGGTGGGTGGACTGGTATAATGTTTTGCCGGCCGGAGTGCAGGTTCTTGCAAGATGGGTGGCAGGTGTTGATAGGGGAATGAGGACGTTTATTGGGAGGCAGGGGCTAAGCGATGAGTTGACAAAGAGGTAGGGGAGGCTTTGTGATAGGCGCTGGACGCTGTTATGAAGATTGTGTATTTGCATAATGTATGTCTGGGTTTGGGGCCGCTGCGATGAGCGAACACGCAAGGGAGTTGAATAATATGCATGATACGTACCCAGGGGAACATTAAGTGAAGAGCCAGTTCAGCCTTTGTGTAAGGCACCATATTTCCCAGGACTGGTATGGAGAGATATTCCGTGCACACCTTGGACGCATAGGAGCGAATTGACCTAGAACAGACGAGTATTACCGGCATTATCCTCGACGTGCTTTCAAGCCACCACATGAATTGCACGATTGAACCTAAACTATACGGATACATGCGAACTAGGGAGATTTAGCTTGACTGGCGCTTTAGAAGAGGCATGATGCAGGGCTTAGCTCACAACAAGACTCGGAGGCGTCAAGTCGCCTACCGCCAAGTTCGGCGCAACTCTACTTTCACTTTTTCCAATCACATTCGGACCGTTAGCTAACATGGTACAAGGACCGCTCGTTAGCATATGCATATTGCAGATATGGTTCATTCAGCATGCACTAGTGCGAACTATCAACAGCGCCCCTGAGGATCTGAAGAATCCATACTCCTTGAAAGTTTGTCACTGCAGACATACTGGACATGCCAGGCTATATAAGAAGCTCTTGTCTCCTCTGTCTGCCATGGAGAGGATTTCCTCGTCTGATATCAAAGACATCTTGTCGTTCTACTAGTTCTACTCGTTCTACCACTTGTACCACCACTTCTACTTCTACTCGCTTTATACTCATCCTACTCATGTACACCATACTCTCTAACAACCCTCAACTCAGCACCCTCATCTCTCCATCATGAAGGTGTCCATCGTGACAACCATCTTGGCAACCAGCGGCCTCACCACGGCCACGGCCACGCACCACTCAAAGAGAACCATCGGCGGCACCAACGCCACCATGGACCAATTCCCATACCAAGTGTCGGTCCAGCGCCGGGTCCAGACCTTCGACTGCCACTTCGGCGTCCACACGTGCGGCGGCATCATCATCGCCCGGAACAAGATCCTCACCGCCGCGCACTGCACCCTGAGCGACGACGACGACGAGGAATTTGCCGGCTCCGGCTCCGGCTCCGGCTCCCAGTTCCAGGTCCGCGCCGGCAGCCGCGACTGGGCCCACGGCGGCCAGCTCGTCAGCGTGAACAACATCACGGTCCACCCGAGCTACAAGCCCGGCGGGAACCAAGTCGACGACATCGCCGTGCTCACTCTCAAAAGCAACCTCACCCTCGGGGTCAAGGTCGCCATCGCGGACCTGGCCGGTGCCGAGGACCCCATGCCCGCGGCGGGTACCGAGGTCGTCGTCGCCGGCTGGGGGCAAACGCGCGGCGGCAAGGGGCCGCCGTCCCGCTGGCTGCGGTCCCTGAGGACAAAGGTCGCGCTCAGGTGGATATGCCAGTTTCGGTATTTGCGGCATGGGGGCATCGGGAGCAGGACCTTTTGCGCCGGGAATTGGAACGAGTTCGAGCATACGTGGGCCGGTGATAGCGGCGGCGCTTTGTTTGATGTTCAGACGAAGAAGGTCGTTGGTATTGTGTCGTATGGTCCTGAGTCCCCGAAGAGCGGGTATCCTACTGTCTTTACCAGCATTGCTGGCTATCGAGAGTTTCTCCCTCAGGTTGCTAATGTGTAGGATTCGGATTGGGGTCGAAAAGAAGGGGGGCGCGGATGTCGGCAGTAGTTGGACCTTGGCTCAGACCTTGTGCCTTCTCTCTCTCTCTCTCTCTCTTTTTTTTCATTTGTTTCATTTTTTTCCCGGTGGAAAGATTACTATTGAACCATGTCTCAGAGGCCTCAGAGACTATCAGTAGAGTTTCAAATTTCACCATAACCCAGTATCTCGAGTAGGACAACTACGTCTCGAGTGGCCGGTCCGCTGCTATTCAAGCAACCCACGATGCGTGCAAATATGCTCCGATACACTAGAGTACCATACTCTAAAACAAAGGAAATGTCTCTTGATGAGGTTCTAATCCTCCTCATCTCGTCATCACAAGCCTCCAATCCCTGTCGCATGTTCAGCCTCGTTACAAGGGTCCATACTAGTAAGATGGGCATTGTTCCCCGCTGAACATAACGGCAAAGACGTTGATCAACGATGGGTTACAACATGTAAACTCTTACCACATTGCGGACCCGAACTCACCCATCACCGAAGCCAATTTGTTCCACGAAACCTGTCTTCAGCATCGTCTTCAGCATCGTCATCGTCGCAGTCATCACACCATGTCAAAAGATATACCCCCACAACTGAGCGCGAGTCTGCGCATCGTCGAGCTCGAAGACCAAGTTAAAGGTCTCATGGAGACGGTGATTCAATTTCACGAAATGTACGGGCTTGAGGCAATAAATATTCCCAAGCCCGACAAGTATGTCAAAGAAGGGGGATATACAGTCACCGAGCTGCAGCAGCGATATGCGCATCGACCGGCACTCTCGGCCACACCAGCAACGACAACAGCAACACAAGAAACTACAGTTCTGTCGGAACCACCAAAACCGAAACCGAAACCGGAAGCGGCCAAGGAATCGAAATCATCCGTCACCGTAGCAGATGTGCCAAGTTTGCCACAGTACACTTACGCACCTTTGAACGCCGCGGCTTCTGAGATTCGACTGTTGGCTTTGGACACGACTGGCCGTCCGGATGATCCCATAATCTGCAGGCTTATAATCGCCAGCTTAGACGACGCCGCCGAGTGCCCCCCAATGTTCAAATCGGCGCCAATTGAGTGCTTTACCCCGTTGTCGTACTGCTGGGGAACGTCGTCTTTCACGGAACACATCGTTGTGGATGGACATTCGTTTTCTGTTACGCCTTCTTTGTACAATGCCCTGCGACACTTTCGCAAGGCCGTTCCACCACCTGAGGATCCCTTCAAGAGATTCCAGGGGGACAAGGCTGAATCGTACTGGTGGATTGATGCCATTTGCGTCAACCAAAATGATGTGACCGAAAGAAGCAGTCAAGTTGGTCTTATGACTCGTCTCTACAAGGCTGCCCACATGGTACATGTGTGGCTTGGAGACGAGGGTGATAATAGCACGCAGGCCATGAGGCTCATAAGGGACTTGGCTTATATTCCAGAAACGCCGGAAGACATTGAGTCTTGGAACTACATACCAAAGAAAGCGGGACAGACTTACCGACCGGATGGACCTGGCCGGCCCATGGTGAAGCTGCCAGTTCATGAGACCACTTTTTTGTCAGAACAAGAGAAACTGGACAATTATGCAGCGATTATTAGATTCTACCAGCGCCCGTGGTTTTCCCGAGTTTGGATCAGACAGGAAATAGCACTTCCCAGCGACGTCATATTCCATTGCGGTGCCGAGACGTGTAATTGGAAGGATGTGATGCGGGCTGCCGATATACTAACGTACTTCGCTGACGAGTACCATATGCCGGCTCTACAGCATGATGGACTAAGGGATACTCACTCGTTCGGTTCTTGCTTTCGCAAGGCTCTTGGATTGTATGAGCTCCGCGAGGAGATAAGTCGGCGCGGAGGCTCATATGGAGAGCTACAAGTGCTGGCGCTGAAATGGAGAGATTGCCTGGCCACCGACCCAAGAGACAAGGTATTCGCCATGTTGCCGCTTACGAATCCTGATGAAACCGATGTGCGGGCAGACTATGCCAAGGACAAACAGAAATTGTATAGAGACACAACCTTGAGTCTTCTGAGGAAGAATCTGGATTATCTTTCGGGCTGTCAGAATCCCACTCGATCGAACGGTTTGCCGTCGTGGGTTCCTGACTTGGAGGTACCTTCAAGGCCTCTATTGACAGAGACGAATTATGGCCATGATAAGAGTCTCGTGAACCACTGGGGGAACCCGCCAGAAGATGTGGCAAAATTTGAACATGTCCCCAGTGAGGCTCGACTCGATATTCATGGTGTCATATTTGATGAGGTCCAAGCCATCAACGAGGACGACTACATTGAAGCCGAGTCGTCCAATAAGGATGTACGCACTATATCAGAGCGATGGCGGGAATTCCATGAGTCTCACCGAGACGCCCTATTCGAAGAGTGGGAGGAACAAGGGAACTGGGAAGCAAGAGACGAGTGCTTAAGAATGTTTGATGTTCCCTTCAATGACAGCGAATGGCAATTTCATATTTTGGGAAATACCGATGGGGACACATATCGAGAGGGCGGTGACCGGGATGGCGTGCGTTTCAAGCGGTGGGACGACGATAATGTAGACCATGATCCTACTTTGAAGAGGGTCAAGAGGCTTCTGCCATCGGATGGCACTCCCTTTTCTGATGTTCTGGGCCGAGAGGATGAATACTTTGCAAATCTACGACCGCTGGCCATTGGCCGCAGAATGTTTTTCTCATCGAGGGGAGCCATTGGACTGATTCCGATTGAGGCCATAACGGGAGATAAGGTCTGCTTCTTTGACGGGTGCGGTTGTCCTTTTGTGATCCGAAGGGCTGGAAACGAAACCTGGGTGATTGTTGGACAAGCTTGTGAGTGAGCATCGTTTTGACATATCTGGTAGCTGCTAAACTGACGCTTGCAACAGATTACTTTGGAAGAATCGTGTTATATGAGGCGAGCAAGAAACCGAAGAAGACGATAATTCGAATCGTCTAGGGAACCATGTAGGCGAGGCGACGCAGGCAAATATCTAGTTCTCTGTTCGAGCTATGTAATTTGGTTGATAAACAGTTGCTGGACTGAACGCTCCCTGATAAAACACTAGCACGAGGGTGACTCGAGCTTGGACAAAGGTGAATGAGGATGTGCGGGTGCGACGCGACCAAGTTGCTTCGTGACTGATCCTTCATTTCCCTCCATTTTAATTTAGGTGTCGGAGGATGACGTCAGGCTGAGTGCTACTGGCGAATTATACGAGAGAGGCTACTCCGTACTAGGCATGTAGTTAGTTAGCTCTTTCCTTTCCTGTTGCAATTGAGTTACAAGGAAATTCGGGAAGGAGGCGACTTGTCTTAACCCTTTATTAAAGTTGCTCGTCCACTGAGTAGTTGCCAACGGGTAGTTCGATGTTATCGTACAAAGTACTCTGTTTGGAGTACCAATTGATTGGCTGTGTCAATCAGCAGGGGGCCACAATCACTGCTTGCCCGTGTTCGAAGATTCTCCAGGCACAAACAGCCAACACTGATGTCGACGGTTTTACGGACCAAACGAGAGCACCATTAAAGCCTCCAGGGTTTGTTTAGCACGTTCTTTTGAGACCCGGTAGGTTGAAGATTTGAGCGGCTGGCCCACTGAATTGTTCCTCGTCGCTCAACCCCCTGCCTGGAAAGATCCAACATGCATGTGGTGACGTTCTCTTGTGAGCAGCCATGCTGGCCGATCCAGGTGGCAGCAGCCTTGGATCGGGGCAATTGTTATTCGTACTTACTTAGTAAGTACTACTTAGATGTCGTCACAGCCGGCAAGGGCTGGTCGCGATTGCAGTTTCTTCCCGTAACTGTCGTTCTTTCCTGATCCCCGTGATCGCGACTACCCGTCTTGCCAGCCTTGGTTGTCTGCGTCGCCTCGTTGGTTCGACTTGTCTGTTGCCAGTGACCGTCCCTCCCTCCCTCCCTCCCTCTCTCTCTCTGTCTCTTTCGAACCTCGCACAACGATTCCGAGTGCTTGTCTCACCTGAGATTGCCCTGTGTGCTTTTTGGGATCAAGGACGCATTGCACGACGTTCGCTCGTTCGTGTTAGATTTCGCTTATAGCTGCTAACCCGTGAGACTTGGCTGTCGAGACATTTTTTGGGCTTCTGCTTCTCTGATCATAATCAAAAAGCGACTTGGACCCAACTCGCTTTGCTTTACCTTGCCTTCAGACGAGCCTCAACCTCTGTAACGCCTCCATTCGAATCAGCGCGAGCTTTACGGCTCAAACAGATATACAATGCATCCTGCAGCACTCTGGACGGCCGTGTTCGGCCTGGGTGCGTTTGTTGCTGCTCTCGATCCTGTTGAGGCTTACGGAAACAAGTTTTTCACCAGAAATGGAACACAATTCTTTGTCAAAGGCGAGTTATATGACAGGAGAGCTATAGATACTTTCTGTTGTACTAATGTTGACCAGGTGTTGCTTACCAACTTGTGCCTGATGATCCGCTCATAGACACGGAACAATGCAAACGGGACTTTTCTCTCATGAAAGAACTGGGTGTCAACACGATCCGAGTTTACCATGTAGATGCCAAGGCTAAGCATGATGGCTGCATGAGGGCATTGGATGACGCTGGAATCTATCTCCTGGTTGATATGGATACATTTGGCACATACATTGAGTCCGTAAGTTACTCCCACAACGTTAGCGGTAATGACGGCGTTTGCATGTTCATGTCTGACAGTCTTGTAGAAGGATCTTTACTGGAACTCCACTCAGTATGAAAGGTATTCACAAGTGATGGACGCCTTCCATAGCTATGACAATGTTCTAGGCTTCTTTGTTGGCAACGAAAATATTGCGACGAAGGACGATTCTCCAGCAGCTCCATTCCTCAAGGCCGCTGCTCGTGATATGAAGGTCTATCGAGACAACAAGGGTTATCGCAATATCCCTATCGGCTACTCAGCCGCGGATATTGTGCAACTTCGTCCAATGCTGCAAGACTATCTCACCTGCGGAGGAAATTCATCTGAGA